CTTTTAGAACCCAGAGGAGTTAGGCCACTCTTGTAAGAACATTCTTGTACATGACTTGCAAGATTACTTCCAAGAACAATTTTGCTTTTTTTATCCATGTGACAAAGTTATTGATACCATGAGAATGGCTAACAGAATAACTAATTTCACATATTATATGATTTAGAGAGAACAGGATTGCCTCAGTTGGTCTCTGTGTGATAAACACATCCAGAAGAGGCTACCCCCCTGAGGATGGTGCCCACATAGCTTTACGTAAGTCTTGATTAGAAGTTTCTTTGGCTATCAGATTTTGTTGATTTGTTTTTTTATTAAAGGAAGAATAAAATAATATTGTTGATCCTGTATACCTGTCTTCTCTATGGGTCTTATTAAATAATCAATGTCTTTTTGTGTAATTATTTTTGTTGTTTTTGTTTTTCTTCAATATTCTTTTTTCTAACATCTCCTCATGTCAAAGCTCTATTACCAAGCTTGTATAGATTAAAACAGTTATTCATTAATGTCAACATCCACATGTATGTTTTTAGCGTTTCTTAGAAAACACAGATGCAGGATTTGATAGTTTTATGTTTTGGTTGCAGGAACTGTTAGACGATTTCTGGAAAAGTTTTCTGATATTGAACTTGTTATTTTTGCTGCTGAAAATGCTGATGAGGTACAAGGGGTAATTTTTTTTTTTTTTAACCTTTTGTGTCATTCATCCTAACTACTTGAATTTTTTACTGGTTTTTTTTGCAAGGCCATATACAAGAATGTCATGCCTCTGTACTTCCCTAGAAGCAAAGAAGAGGAAGACTATGTGTTGAATAAACTTCCAGATGACATTGGTGAGCTGAAATTTCTTTTTCTGTCATAGATTCGGCAGCTGACATGAGAAACTAACTATAAAAGATAATTTCAATTTCAATCCTGGAAGGTTGCAACCTTAACACCAGTTGAAAGTTACTCATGCAGACTTAGCAGAATGTTTAGTTTCTTCTCTGTCATTGCATTTGTTAGGGAATGAAAATGGTGAACCAGTGATTGCTGAAAGACAAATTAGAATAATGGATAAACCACTTGGTCAAAGACACTCTGATGATGGTAAGGAATATGTACATTTGCTCCATTATCTCAGCTCTGAGAAAGTACAAACCCTTCTTTTTTATTTAATCCAGTGTCAGCAGATATAATATAGAATAGTGAGTTGATTGGAAAGTGTTTAAAACATGTGCAGATGCTGATGTAGAAGAAGCAGAAGAAGCTGGTGCTATTCACATGTTGGACTCAGCTACTGTTGGCAAACATTCCTTCTCAGCAATGGCAGGAGATCATGATCAACTAACAAGACAACGATTACAAAGATCACCCAGTGAACAACATGCGATTCAACATGAGAGAGTGTAAGAGATTTGAGAAGTCTTCAATTGGCAACCCCACCATACATTGTAGTTACACATTGTAGCCATTGGTTTTAATTGATTTTGAATCTTTTGGTATCCATGTATGACCTGTTCTGTATTAATTGTGTAGGGATGTTGTTTATTTCAGGTATCAGAGATGGCTGCGACGAGCCAGGACAGAAGATTTCTCAAGTCTCCTGAGGCTAAAGATGGTCTACCAATCAGGTTTTGTTTTTGGTTAATTTTTCCTTTTCACTGACATTTCTCATCCAAATGTTGTTTTTTTTCTAAATGAGCACAAAGTCAGGCAAGTGATGTACAGACTTTTCTTATGTTCTGGCAACATCAAGTGCATTGTTATTATGCCATTAAATCAATCGGAAAGCGCAGATTTATTGATTTGATATAGTACTGATGGAACACAATCCTCCATGGATCAGTCACAACATATCTTTTCCATGAGTTGTAATGTGAGTAATTTTCAATTGTTCTTTCTGACTTATTCACTAACTCTGTGGTGTGGCAACCGATATTTGGGCATTATTTTAATAACCACAATATTAAATCTGTGTTATGTAGGTGTGGATTTTCTTGGCAGACCTGTTATAGTATTTGTTGGTCGACATTTTCAAGCAAGAAGTGTAGACTTAAATAAGGTTTGTTCCTGTATGCTGTAGAGGTGGCCAAAGTCTGCAGAATTGATACTTACACCCCTCCCTCTAAGAAGTGACCCACCAAAACCAGGTGATCGAATTTGTGTTACAGATCAAAACCCAACTTGTTAACCTTTAGATAGACATGGTGTATGTTGTTCTGCGGTTATTTTGTCTTATACTAAGAGTTGTTTTTGGTGGTCTACTCGAGAAGTGTTTTTAATTAGTTGAACATGAATTGCAATCTTTAATTTTTTCTCGTAAACATCGATCGGTGATGATGAGGTCATGGAACTGTGTTCATGTTGTACTATAAAAGCGAAATTCGTATGTTTGTCTGTGTTGTGAACAGACGAGAGGGGAGGGGGGGGGGAGGTCGGAATTGCTTATACTGAAAATCGAAAACAATATCGCCAGACAAGTTTAGATAAACCTAAGCCCAACCCAGACCATAACGACTCGTAGCGTGACTTCTGGGATTGCCACATATGTTCGAGGTTGTGGGTTTTACTTTTGCCTACTGTCTTGTTTTTCAGGCTGTAGCTTACTTCATCTCCGTATTGGACAAGATTGTCAACAGGGATTATGTTATTGTGTACTTGCATACACTGAGTTCAGAGGAAAATCAGCCTCCATTGTCATTTTTGAAAGATATTTATCATTTGGTGGATAACAAGTTAGTTTTTCTCACCTTTGATGTTACTGAGTTAAATCACACTTTGCTTAGAGCTGGCGGGAGGTTGGTTTCATTTAAAATTGTTTTTAATCTGCCAACATGGGAGACTAGCCTTTATCCAGGGGATTGGTCAATAATATGAAAACATCGTCAGTAACATTTGTACGTTAGTATCACATGACTTGAGTGACACATATTTCTGCTTGTGCTTAGGTATCGTCGTAATCTTAAAGCCTTTTACATAGTTCACCCTACTGTTTGGGTTAGAATTGTTACGTGGTTTTTCACGACTTTCACCGCTTCCTCAATCAAAGATAAGGTTCACTTTTTGTCTGGAATCCAGTACCTGTATGACTGGATTGATCCTGATCAATTGGAAATTCCGGCCTTCGTCTTAGAGTATGACATGAAGGTATGTGTTTTACCATAATATAACAAAAATGCCCTGGTAACAAACAAAAAATGTGTCCAGAGCAGGTTAGACACACTTTACCCCCGTGAACCTCAAACGGTAGAGTTTTGTTTTGTTTTACTTCTTATTTGGTTTTTTTTTTTGTTTTTGGCTTTTGGAAGTAGTTTTTTGTTAGTCATTTCGTTTGTTGTTAATCTTATCTATTTTTCCTCACAGGAAAATGGAAATAATTACCACACTCCAGCCAGTACGTACCGCACGGGAAGTCTGTAAGAGTCGTTGTTTAAATTTAAGATGAAACCGATTCCGCCAATAAATTTAGACAGTTACTCATCTTTTGGAAGACACATGGCGGTTATTGCCTCCTCAGACAATAAATGCCATATCTATTCCGGCAGTGAAATGATTCGGCTTACAATTACTCTTCAGTCCGCATCATTCTCGGACCATATTCAAATGATTCTTGTAATGCCTCGTTAAAATTCAGCCACTTTTTCAAGTGGCAGTTTTAGAGATAAGAGGAATTCTTCTTTAATTACTCAGGAAAAACTTCGATTAGTGTTAGAATGAATTAGATAAGTCCTATAAATGCATGAACATTAAGGAACTGTTTTTAATACAAACTAATGAAGACGACTTGGAAGTAAGATTGTATCTCTATTTTTCTGAGTTTGTTCCTCGGGGAATTGTCGTCTTTTTTTAGCTCACGGAATGAGGCTTTGATATCTACGATTAGAACAAGGTAGATATGGACAAGATGATATTTCTACAAACACATAGGTGCTACAGGCAACCGAATTTTGCCTTGAGAGAGAGAAGGACCATAGCGAGTGCCACTTTTTCTTCATTTAGATTTATATTGTGTTTCAACTCGGGCTTTTTCTTCGATTGATCCACGATAATTAATACTGTAAATTACAAGTGTAGTTAGATCAAGTCTAGAAGCGTCAAAAATTTATTGAAATGAATTGGGAGCAACAAACTGTACTTTTGAATATATGAAAAGGAATAAAGATATTTTTGGAAATTTACGCTTTGGGACTTGTAGGAAGTTTAATGTGGGGTGGTTTGGGGGATTTCAAACGTATTTCTTCCTTGATGGTCGAAATAATTCCTTTCTTATCTTAATTTATCCGTATCAGCTTGACAGCAAATCTTAAACGAAATCTTTCATAAGCGCTTCAGTTCAAACTAGTGACAGACATGTGACGAAAATAAATTAAACAATAAAAGCTCCCTTAAGGATGTATTCGTTCTACTGACAGTATATTTCTGTAGATTTACTTTCAGACATAGCTCAAATAACTTGTATATAAATAAATGTGGGTTCGTGAGTTCCCACCATTATATTTAGTGAGGATTTTAATCATCTCTCCGGCTAAGGAATGAATTATTTTGAAGTAATATCGTTTCGCTGGTGCACTCATTTTAGCGGAAAAGAAACAGAGAAATCTGGATAAATATTAAATAAGATAACTGATCTGGAAAGTGTCAAGTTGTTGAAATGTAAATTTTAGAGCGTGTTTTTCATTGAAAACGATCCTTGACGCTGAAGGAAGGAAGTTGATATAATATCGTGACAAAATTTTCGTCTAGTTCAGGTTATCAATCTAGTTTATTACAAAAGATTTTCCTCTTAATCAGTGTTTACTACTGAGCCCTTGACTTACTTTTGAATATTTTGTATCTTTACAGTATAATTAAATGAAAAAATGAGTTAAACTTAGTATTTTGTACATATATAAATGATTCTAAGAAGGATTTTTGGAATATACTTTCAAAAGATTAAAGTTTACTTCCGATGGGATGCATATTTATTTTATTTTATTTTTTTTTTAGAGGGGGAGATTTTATTCCCGTTTGTAGAAACTTACTCCAACGAATTCCTTTCCCTTGGTTTAGTTCACGAAGGAGATTTCGAATACTTCGCACAATCCGTTGGGAAATTTCGGAATTAAAAACAGGAGTTTCCGACATTGATCGTAATTTTATTAATTTAGCAGTGAAACTTCCTCTCGTACTGCGTATTGGTTGAAGCTATTTATTTTCGTAGAGCTTGAGAACAATTCTACCAGTTTTTTCCGTATACAAATAAAACTCTTGTAATCTCTGACGTCACTTAAACGTTCAAAAACTCATTTAATTTCGTCCCTTTGTGTTCATGAATAATGCGAGGCACGAGGGCTGATAATGCTATCTTACGCCTTCGATCTGAATTATTGACGCACATTCCCTAATGATCTTCGTGCTGCGTCAACTTTCCGGGAAGAAATCAAACCTCTCTGAGAATCTTGATCATCGCATAGAGTGTTTTTTCGCAAGCCTTGTTATTTTCTGCCAGAGAATGTATACAACCCAAAAGGCAGGAAGCTAAGGCAATTTGCTGAAACATGAAATTTTATCTAATATGTTTACGAATTGTGGGCGGGATGTGGGCTGATAAAACCCCATCATGTCATTGGTTGTAATAATATCCTGTCACCCCTAACTCTCGTGCTGTTGCCAAGAGACTGAGTTGTATTGTCTCTCTAGCCAATCAGATCGTGCAAATTATGACTGCGACATGATATCTTCTTGTCGTCGGCAAATTTTTACCACTACATCGGTAAATTTACACAGTTTGCATTCCCTAAACGAACGATCCAGAGATCTCTACATTCTTACTACAGTAGACGACAGTGCAGAAGAAAAGAGCGGATATGGAGCTTAAAAACAACTGCCAAGTTCTCACATTCAACCAGCTCACTCGTCTTCACAGTGTATTAAACCAAACTGTCTTCATTCATGGCCGAGGAAATTTTCCTACTCTAGAAGTACCCCTCAAAGATTTTATAGAGACTGTGACAGCAGGCCTTAAAGAGGAAGGATTAAAAGTCCGCGACCTCCGATTGAATGGAAGTACTGCCAGCAATATCTTAAGTACAGAGAGCAACTGTTCGTACAATGATATTGACTTGATCTTCGGTGTGGAGATTCGCTCTAATTTGCACTTACAGCAGATCAAGTGTGTCGTGTTGAACTCGCTTCTCAATTTCTTCCCCAGTGAAGTACCGAAGGATAGAATCAATAGCTGCATCTTGAAAGAAGCCTATGTTCAAAAGATGGTGAAAGTGTCGACTGACAACGATCGTTGGTCGTTAATCTCGCTTTGGAACAACCAAGGGAAAAACGTCGAACTGAAATTCGTCGACTCGATGCGTAGGCAGTTTGAATTCTCGGTTGATTCGTTTCAAATTATCCTCGATTCCCTTTTTGGCTTCTACAAACTGTCGCCAGTGCCGATGAAGCCTAATTTCTTCCCTACCGTTGTTGCCGAGTCGGTTTACGGCGATATTAAGCTTGCCCTCTATCATTTAGACAACAAACTGATAGCTACCCGTAACCCGGAGGAAATACGAGGTGGTGGTCTCCTTAAGTACTGCAATCTTTTGGTGCGAAATTATGTACCAGAAAACTACGAAGAGATCAAGATCCTAGAGAGATACATGTGTAGTCGTTTCTTTATCGACTTCAGCGATATCCATCAGCAGCAACAGAAGTTGGAGAGTTACTTGGCAAATCATTTCATCGGAGACGAGCGAGCTCAATATGAATATTTGATGGTTCTTTATCATATTGTTTCATCCTCCACGGTTTGCCTCATGGGACACGAACGAAAACAAACCCTTCGCCTTATAGACTTTTTAGGAAAGCAGCATCGCGGTGAAGTGAGTTATATGCCGATGGTGGTGTACAGCGATAAGACAGCATCTTATCCATTCGTTCCTGCTTCTGGTTACATGGTGCCTGTATCGACCAGAAGTCAAACATTAAGTACCTATGCTTATAACAGTTTAGTTCCGTGTTTTTAAAGAACGTTTCAAGAACGTTACCGCAATGAAAACTTTGAAACTAGACCTCCAATGAAGGTATGCGTCACATTTGCCACTGGATTCTCTGAACTTTGGAAGTGAGTCTATATTTTTATAATGAGGGAGCAGAGGGTAGTTTATTTTCAACGTTGTAACCCGTAGTTATTTCTAGGTACGGTATAAACATACTTGTCTATCACCGTATTGGTGTGCGAGGGACGTGAAGCAAGCCTTAAAATGTAATTCGTTTCGTGAAGAAACAGAGAAGGAAGTTCTTCACAATCCCCGAATACTGTTGTTATGTAAATACGCCGTTTGGAACGGCCAAACTAGACGTTCGTGCTTAATGTAATTTCGCAATTTCACACTATATATTTGTGATGAACTTGCTTTGGAACAGTGACTGAAATACGATAGAAACATTACTCACCACGATTAGTGTCTCATAATTAATAAGTACCGAGTAGAATATGAAATAATCTCCCGAGAGGGAAAGTAACTTTTATGGTTTTGTTTTGAATAAATGAAGCGTTTATTTTTCGTTGGGTTGATATTTTGACCGAGCAAAATGATTATGTAACAAGTCATGTTCTCTTTTTCCTTAAGGGAAACCATTACATCCAATTTTATTGCTTTTATCAATACTGTTAGTAGAGGACGGAATGTACTTGTCAAGAAATTCTAAGCTATGGTCGTACCGCTTCTGTTCAAAACTGTTAATTCCGGTATGACGAAGGGCTCTAATGATCTTTAACCTTAGACGCCGATCATAGGCGCTTAATTTGCATATACACCAACCACAGGCCACCGATCACTTCACTGATGTGAGAATGCTGCAAATATAGGCATTTCCGATCACTTTTCGAAATAAGCGTTCTTTCAAGGCGAATTTGGTATTAGCCGCAGGTGTAACGTGAAATTTCAAATAGAAATGAAATTTATTGGTGTAGCCACGGCGGTTTGCACAATTAATCTCAAGTTCCTAATACCAGTTAAAACAACAAGTGCGGAAAGTGTCTCGACTTAACACAGATAAGACTCCTTAAATGAACAAAACTTATCACCCAAACACTCCTTATGTTCTTAGAACTACTTTCTAAATGAAGCTTTTGAGTCACTGACCGATGATGCGACAGCAAACAGGAAAACACCACTCAATATACACAGTAGTGTCGGTTAAAACCTGATTTACATTTTTAAGAAACTTCTAGTTACAGATTTTTAACCCTGGGTTAAATTGTTGTGTGGGCGTCTGTGAACGGTAAAGGAAATTTTCTTTCTCTAAAAACAATATGTTTCATTTTTCCTCTTCATAGAATTAACGATGCCCTGAAAAATATTGAACTTTTCGTTGCCATTACCAGGCAATATTGGTAAGCTTTAAAAAGATGGCCTTTGAAAATATCTGCTTCAAAAAAATTTATTCGGAGAATTCCAGGACCGTGGAATTACTTCCTAGCAACTGCAAGTCCGGATCCATGTAGGAAGGACAATAAACCCGATCTAATAATAGAGTGGTGGCTGTTAGATCAAAATTTCCAAGAAATTTCTTTTAGGACTTTAACGACTCTCATTCTCTCGTGTCGGCTGCAGGTTTCAGGCGGCAACTGTAGAAAAGAAGAGAAAATGCTGTTTTGTGGAGAACATATATCTCCTGAAAGTCTTGGATATTTCGCTCAAGTACTTCCAAGAAGCGCGGTTGCCTTCAACAGAACTCAAAAACAAAAAGAAAACCGTGAGTAGTGGGATCTCACGAACTAATCCTGAAATTTCACACAGTTGCCTCATTGTTCCTTGGCGAGGAGGAAGGTCTTCCCATTTGTAGCAATCCTTTGTTGAAAATTGTAGAAGAAAAAACTTGCTCAGACACTAGGTGGGCTCTGTTGACCAGCATGCCTTAACAATAAGTTTTCTAACAGGTGTGTAAATCATTATAAAAGTTTTATTTAAAAAAATATTAGTTACCGAATAAGACGGTTATTTTCACGCCACATTTAATTATTTTGTCCTGATATTGCTCAGGCGGTTGATCTAAATAACCCGCAAAAAAAATGAAAAAAGAGCCACATTTGTTGATATCTTCAGTGTGTTATCAAACGTGCTTGCTCAGCTGAAACCTTGCCGGAGCACTCAACTATAGATACTTACAAATCCCTTTTGAAAATCTACTTACATGCTGCACTTGTTCCTCAGTAAATAGAGACCAGTTGTCTTTGGAACTGCACATCATTTCAACAATAAAGCAACACTTCTAATGTTGTATCCAATGAAGTTTTTGGCTGAGAAGGTCGCATGCGTAGGCTGGCATCATAGCCGAGAGGATAGGCAACACAGCATTTCCAGGTGCCATTGTGGTCTCTCAAAAGATTTTGTCTTGTGATAAATTTCATTCGAAGTTTGGTGGGTGGAATTGGATTATTATCATCAATGTATGCATCAAACTTGTGCTGAAAATTCTCTTTCTACACCTCACTTCGGAATTGAATTGAGAAGCTTCCTTCAGACCTTAATGACTGCTTAAGATCATACAGGATAATCGTTACTAGATTAATGAGAGTTTCCACCTCCCCATCGCATTTTATTTAGTACTCCATATTAAAAATTGAAGTTCGCATTCATGCTTCCTTTACTGAGTATGGTTCCCATGTTACCGATAACTAAACATTGTAATTGTTATTTTCATCAATATCTTTTATGTTATTATCGAACAAAAGTTCAGGAAAGAGGATGTTCCTTGTATCTCTGTTCGAATGTGACTCTTCAAAAACGTGGGTATGCTGATGATGGCTTTTGAAAACTGATTGTTAGAAGAAGCGCCGATATGTTTTAGCACGGCCCCTCTCTCGATTTTTCTCCATTGTAACAGATGGGAAAACTTTTTTCTCTTATAAATGAACACAATAAGATATCCTATTTAAAATTTTTATCAACGGTCTGAATAGAGAAGTGATGCTGGATTTTTCTTTGTTTGAAAATAACACAAATATTATAATGACGTCTGCCACCCACTCTCTTCCTAGCTTTTTTTTGTTGTGAAAAATTTTCTCATTGCACAGGTAGTTCAGATTTAACCACAAAAACACACAATATTTAAATTGTTTTTGTCTTTTTTTAACGAAACATTTTTATCCTCTTTTCTGATCAAACTGAAAAGAAGAAAAAGAAAGCATGGTTCATGGCATGTACCGCAGTTATTATATTTTTGCTTCAATGTAGTTGTAAACATCTCAGTTCAGGTTGTCACTGAAAATTTAACAGATCCTGATCCACTGATCAAACTTTCACAGTGGCTCGTAAAATCTCGAAATTTGTAATTTTAACTTTTATCTAAATTTTAATTTTTACTTAACGGAGCTCAACAGCCAAGATATAAACATTCAGGTACTTGGTTGGCCGAGTCAGAAGAATGGGTACTAAAAAATCCGTAGTACTGGAATCGATTAATTTCCAACATGGCGGGTGTCCGCGAATTGACAAAGCTTTTAAAATCGCACTTGTTGCATTTTCCCAGGAAATCTCACCCCCTAGGAGGCTCTCGAAGTGCATTTCAAACATATGGTAGATGTGCTTCAACATTGACATTCGTTCCTGATTCTCCGTCACCTCTTGATGGTAAGCTATAGACAAAACCAAACTCATTAACCAAACAGAGAACAATATTTAGACTGAACTAGATTTATTTTGCTAAGTTACATTAACCTAGTAGACATTTAAATCTGATAAAATTTATTATAACTTCTTATGTTTTTTGAAAGTGAAATATCTACCTCAAGTTGCGGTGGTCGAAATCAGATATTTCCTAATTGACGGCAATCGATACATGCCAGGTTCAAACCATTTACTCTACCTTGATAATAGTGAAACCTTTCTGTTTGTTAATTTGTTATGCATACAGCCTTTTCAGATCAAATTGGATTAGTCTAGTTACATATGAGGAACTGCCAAAAGGTGTATGTGTATGACATACATGTATGGGTGCTGTTGTGTGTGCAGTTAGACTCGGTCAATACTGGCATGTTCTACTCGCTAGTTTATCTCTCATAGCTATCCTGCTTGTGCTGTATTGCCTACGACTGAAGAATGTGAACTTCAATCAGGCATCATTAAACAACTGTTTCATAATGAAATGAAGGTTACCATTTCTCATGCCCATGTGCATTTGAATGTAACTGTGGTGTGTAATTAGCTGTTCAAATTATATTTAAATGAGATAAAACATTTGTAAGTTTGAGACATTTCCACAAGTTTCTATGTCTTGCTGCATAGATGGTTATGTTAACTTATGTTGCCTAAAACTTTACCAGTCCCTGTGCCATAACAGTTCTGAGTTCTAGATCTCTTAATTGTAATATGTGTACAGAGTGGTTTACTTCCCATATCAAATCCTCTATTACCCTTTGTTCTAAATATTTGTATATATTATATTGAGCTAAATAGATATGTGATATTTTGAAGGTTCATATTTACTTATCACTATTTTTTTATAAATCCCTTTCCAGGAGAAACTCAAAAAATGAATTTGTTTCAGTCTTTAACAAATGCAATGGATATCATTCTTGATTCAGATCCAACTTCGGGTAAATAAATTTCCTTTTGAATGATTTGTGATATCTGGTTCAAATATTTCAAATTAGCTTCATGGAGATGCACATTTAGCCTAACCTAAAGCAGAGCTTCTTACTGAAAGTCTTTTCTTTGTACCTACCCACTTTTTAGATGGGTAAGGGTCTGAATTTTAAAGACAAGGAACTGAATAACATCAAACAAAATGATGTATGTTTGTGATGTGTTTGAAGACTATCCTACCAGAAATGCACTTAGTAATATTGAACAAATCACTATACTAACTGGGTAATTTACAAAAGCTGTGTTTAAATTTTGTTTTTGTAGTTGTATTTGGAGAGGATGTAGCATTTGGTGGAGTTTTTAGATGTACAGTTGGTCTAAAGGACAAATATGGTGACTAACTTTTTTTGATTGAACCTTAACTATTGTGTCATTTGTCACTGTTTTTTTAGTAGAAACTTTTTATCTGACTGGTAAATTTCAAATCTGAGCATGTATGATATTACTCACCAATCAGTGTTATGTGGATAACTGGTTCACATTTAAAATTGAGTTTTTCTAAGGCACACATTATTCACCCAATGTTTTCCCAGGAAAAGACAGAGTCTTCAACACACCACTCAGTGAACAAGGAATTGTTGGTTTTGGAATTGGAATGGCTGCAGCAGGTGCTACAGCTATTGCTGAGATTCAGTTTGCTGATTATATTTTCCCTGCATTTGATCAGGTGAAAAGAAACTCAGTGGAATTATATAAAAAAGCTTGTTTATTACACACTGCATCTGGGAAATTAAAATCAGACTTAATATAATATTTCAAAATTTTTTTCGTCCAAAAGCTGGCAATTTTTACTGGCTGTTTTCTGGTGATAGGAACAGCTAACAGAAAAAAACAATAACCAAAAAATTTCACTTATATTGTCCAGCAAGTTTTGTAAGTTATTCAGTGCTTTCAATAAGACCTGGCACCCGCTGGAGCTCCGGCAGGTATTCTGTTGTGAATCGCTGGGTATACTTTGTCACATCCAAGTCAAATTAACAGAACAAAAAAAAGAACTAAATCACATTCAAAATAATAGCCAATTTAGTGTTGGAGTGTTCACCTCATTTAATTCTTTGGTCCTTTTTTGTTAGATTCATTCTTTCAATAGCAGTTTTCTATTTCTGCTTGTTTTGGGTGTTCTTCAAAAATTGACCATGTGTGAAATCAAAGTACATATCTTTGGTTGCCTGAAATGGTCTTTTAAACAATTTTGTGCTGAACTAAAATCATGAAATACTTTTGGAAAAATAAAACAACAGCAGTTCAACTTAACCGCTAGTTGAAAATCAAAAATGATAAAACAGCTTGCTTGTTGATAGGCTAGGAAATCAAATTTGGAACTTTTTCACAAAGATGTTAACTTTAACCTAGGCTTAACTATGAACTCAAGATAGAAATGAAACAGCCATTGAACACTCAGCATTTACCCTTGTATTAAAAAAAAAAATTTGTTCTGAATGGAACTAGTGGGCTAATGAGAGCAAAATTGTTTTTTCATATTTTTCTCCTGCGGGTGCTTTACCAAGGTAGCCACTTACTTCCAATCTTATTGAAAGTACTGTACACTGTAAGCCCTCATATTTTTGTAAGTTTTTAAAAACACTAAGTTTTTTGTAAGTGAAAACATTTGAAGGAGTTTAAGAGATTATTTACGTAATATTATCATAACAGAACATGAATTGCATCCTTGAATTATATTTATCTTAAATTGCAAGATGAATGAATAATTGTTGCTTTCACTGGTACCTTGTATTGAAAATTTTATATGTAAGGTCATCTGATTAATTTGTGCTGCCCCTAACTTTCAGTGAGATGTTCTCATATTATTTTAGCTGGTGAATGAAGCTGCAAAGTTTAGGTATCGGTCAGGAAATCTTTTCAACTGTGGAAGCTTAACTGTACGAGCACCATGTGGGGCTGTTGGCCATGGGGCTCATTATCATTCACAGTCTGTGGAAAGTTTCTTTGCTCATGTTCCAGGATTGAAGGTAAACAAAAGCATTTTTGAAATTTATATATATATATATATATAAGTGAAAGAGTCAAAGAGGACACATCGATTCTTTGTTACTCTGAGTTTCGCACCTTAAAGCACTCATCAGAGTTCTGTCTGTCTCTACCCCCACGTTTATGGGGGTAGAGTCTACCTTGGCATAAAGTGCTCAATGCTGTGGTAGCAGAGCTGAGTATATATAAGTGAAAGAATCAAAGAGGACGCATTGATTCTCTGCTACTCTGAGTTTTGTGCCTAAGTACTTGTCAGTTCTCGTAAGTTCTGTCTTAGGGTTAGGGTTAGGGTTAGGGCACTTAGGTGCAAAACTCAGAGTAATCGATGCATCCTCTTTGATTCTTTAACTTATATATACATATATATTGTAAGATTGTTTGTAAACACATCTTATTTTTCAACCACAGCTAGGTGGGTTACCTCACCTACCTGGAGTCCCCCACCACCATGTAAACCAGCTCTAAATTAGAGAACATGATGAACCCTAACCATCAACCTTTTAAGTTGTATTAGGAGTCTAAAAATTTTGTATTGTACCCTTTTTCAGGTCGTTATACCAAGGGGGCCAATTCAAGCAAAAGGACTACTCCTCTCTTCTATCAGAGACAAGAATCCAGTTGTATTTTTTGAACCCAAGATCTTGTACAGACAAGCAGTTGAAGAAGTTCCTGTGGGAGACTATGAAATCCCACTCTCTGAGGCAGAAATTCTAGAGGAGGGTATGTTAAACCTTCAGAGGTGAAGTGATTTTTGACTTGTTATTATCACATTGCACATTATTGTTGTTTTTTTGTTTGTAGGTTCAGATGTAACAGTAGTGGGGTGGGGCACACAGATCCATGTCTTACGAGATGTCTGTAAAATGGCAAAAGATCAGCTAGGAGTGAGTTGTGAACTTATTGATCTCAGGACAATTCTTCCTTGGGATGAAGACACCGTCTTCAAGGTAATTTTGTTATTCCCAAAATATATCTTTCTGTTATAATTTATATATAAATGTGTAGTTTGATTTTAGTAACAGGCATGTTCAAAGAGTGAAATGTTAGAAATGAATGTAATTATAATAAGAGTTAAAATGATAATATTGTCTCTTTATAGTGTAGCTGTGTTGTAAAAAAGAAATCAGTATTTGACACAGATTGAGCCTGGCATAGAAGTTCTAAAGTAACTAATAACAACAATATATATACACATTAAAGATGTGGTTAGATAAGCTGTGTCTCTGGGTGCATAGCTAAGGAGAACGACAGTGAGTCTTCTCCTTTAAAAGCAGACAAGTAGGGAATAATGAGACATGAAAATAATCTGTGTACATCAAAGATAAAAACTGATAAAAGCAATTTAAATATATTGACATGAAACTCCCAACAGAGTTTACATGTATACGTGCTGAAAATTTAGACCATACATAAGTATCCATTCCTCAAAAGAAAATAAATCAAAGGTATAGCTTTGTAGGGAAATCAACTGTTGTATAAAGGAACAAATTTACAAACGATATTTATAATTAAAGGTTTATCTGTCTTATTAGTCTGTGATGAAGACTGGGAGATTGTTAATAGCACATGAAGCTACTCTTACAGGAGGATTTGGAGCAGAAATAAGTAGCACTGTACAGGTTAGAGATACTTGTGAATTAAATTGAGTATATTTTTTTGTAGACAATCAAGGGATGGATAGTGCAATAAACTTTCTCAGCCTATGTCATCACTCAACCCTTTAACTCCCATAGTGATCAAGACAGAGTTTCTCCTTACAATAGCAACACAATATCAAGCAGACAAGTGATGAGAATAAAGAAAAATGTCAATTAGGAGATTATAAGGCAATCCAATACCAAATTCTCCAAACTAACATCACAAGAACTGTATGGCAGACAGTAAGGAGAATTACTAATGAGATCTTGGAAGTTAAAGGGTTAATAAACAGTAACAGTTACTTTGCTTGTCAGTCAGTTACTTCAAAAACACTTAAAGAGCCTCAAAATGATTTCATCATTTTTAAACAACATTTACTTAATGGTCGAATACTTCACCCTTCTTTGTGTGTTGGGATGAAAATGATATCAAAAATCCCAATTTCTAAATTTGAGATGATCACCTTTCTAACATAAATTGTGCAATATCAGCACTACATCTTTTTGAAACACCCTGTAATTAATTGAAGTATTACATGAAGTATAACATGCCTGTAAGTTGAAAGTAGGTTTGTTGACCCCCATTTTTTATTACTGAAAATGATCTACAGGAAATGTGTTATATAGATCAGAACCACCTTAAATCATGAAAACAGTAGGCACTGATAATTTGAGAATTTGTGAAAAGATGATTCTTGATATGGTGATTGCATTTCGGGCATAAGGAATGGGTATTACCAAGCTTAAAGTTATAAATGTACTGGCATATTAAGCTTAAGTTTGAGGGTGTTGCCAAGAGATTTTAATTTTCAATGCTACAAGGTATGATGTCCTGGCCTATTCACAAGACCTGTACTAGTTTCCACTGTGCTATAGGGATTTTAGATATACAAACGAATGTAATTTTTACAAGGTTTCGTTTCTTCCTTGTTGTAGGAACATTGTTTCTTGTCACTTGAGGCCCCCATCCAGCGAGTGTGTGGCTGGGACACACCCTTCCCTCACATATTTGAGCCATTTTACCTTCCAGACAAGTGGAGATGTTTTGAGGCCCTCAAAAAAATCAGTAGCTATTAGGAATTTAACTTGCTTTCATACACTATGAAAGCTTAATTAAATATATTTTGTAGCCTCAAAAGTTACCTAATGGATCTCTTTATTGCACTTTTTGGACTTGAATTTCAATTTTACTTCAAAATGAAGTCCACTTTCTTACAGACAGCACATATCTTCATTTACAAGTTAGTCCTGTGGAAGTGATCAAACATCTTTTATTTAGTTATTCCAAAAAGTTGTATTTATATTTAATTTAAGATTTAACTATTTTAACTTAGGAAATGGTCAATTTATATTACCAGAAGTATACAACCTAGCTTATATGCTACTGATGAAATAGATAGTTGATGGTAGTAGCAGAGGTTTCCCATACATTTCAGTTAATAACTCAAAGCTGAAGAAGGCAACCTAGGTGAAAAAGATCATATCTAGATAATAATTTTGGTCTGTGCGTGTGTGCAGGTATGTTCTCATCACAAACCACTACTTCCATTAGGAGCACTTCTGAACAAAGTATAATGACTGTGAGGGAGAGATTTCTGATTAGAATATTAGAATAAAAGGATGAATGGTGCAGGCCTATCTATGATTCATCACAATTTGTCCTTTGTAGCTTAAGGGTTCATCTTCATCATCAAAGAAAATGATAGGCCAATAGGGCTACCTTTACTTAAATTGGTCGCCTTATTTAAGATAGAAAATTCAGAAATGAGTGTATACTGTTTTGACATTAAAGGCCATTTGGGGTAAAGGTTTCTAATGGACTGACAAGTCCTACAAGGCAGCTTTAAGCATTCCACCAAAATAATGGGACTAAAAAACAAGAACATGGGTGAATATTGTGAATCTGGACTGTAAACATAACAAGAGGCAATGAAGTATACAACCAAAGGAGCACACAAAAAGTCAGTGGTAAAAGGCAGTAAATAGGCAAGTACATCTAATATAGGTCATTCACTGCCTTGACCATTTTCTCAGCAATTTATTGTGTTTAGAGTGTGCTCATTACAGTGGTGAAGACAGCTTAGAAGCATGTTATCACAGTTTATTTTTTCACTCCTAAAACTTGAAATTACAAAAAAAAATGTACTTGGAAATGTACATAGGGGACAAATGCCCAGAAATGTACAGGAGAGACCTTTAAATTTCACTTGGAGCCATCAATAATATGGTTGCCAATGTTTGCAAAAATATCTTAACTACAAGTTAGGTTTGAGAATTAAATTCGTTGTAAACCATATCCCCATTTCTGACTATCTATGATGTGCAGCCATACATCGAAGAAGTTTAAATCAGCTTCCATAGTTGATAATTACTTCAGTACCATTCATTGTTAGCTTTTCCTACAAAGAAATCTACCGAGTATAAAAAACAAATTAAGTGATAAATTTTGGAATCAAAGGTAACCTCATTGTTGATGTCATATAAAATGTCCAATTAGCATATCAAAAACTCACCAGAGCAATCTAAGAAAACCAAGATACTATCCCTCAGTGACATTTGTGTCTTGGGTTCATTTAAATAAAAATGCAACACAAAAGCCATGACATCAAAACTCTCCCAAACAACATTCTGGAGGGTTTGGAAGACCTGAGTATGGTCAACAAACAGCTGGTCAGCTACTTGTCCTGGCAAGGTCAAATGTGTTATCACCTGGTATTGGACAACTATCCTTAGTTAAATTAGTAAGCTTTTAACAAAGGACTAGAGGGGTCAATGGCAGCAACTTTCATTTCTTGGAAAAAAGGCTTTAAATTTGTTACCCTAGTTGGCCTGGAAAAACATGTATCGCATGTAATCCAAAACATTTCTGACCACTTTAAACAAGATGACATTCATGACTGATTTTAAAAAATACCCATCCACCTTGTCCAAAGCTCAGCATTCCTTTGCAGCCATCACCAGGGAGTCACTGTCATTGATACCCATTCAATCAAAAACAAGCTTGAGGGAGACTACATCCATGAATTGATGGCTGAAGGAAAGGGAAGAAATTGAGGAGAGAGGATGGGTTATTTTTGATCAGTAAAAACTTGTAATTCCATTTGTTTTTACACTATATGTCCAAAACTGGACAGCTTATTTTGCAAGTATCTTACATCCACACATGACCTATTTGGGTGAGTTCTAGTTTTATTGAATGGTAAAATAAATTTGTTGTCTAACTAGTACGACACTGTATTGGGGTTTCAGTGTCATCTTCATCACTACCCTCTCCCATGGTGAATCTTGATCTGTATCCCATGTTCATAAGCATCACTTCCAAAGGATCAGCATTCATTCTACGCTGATTTGCCCTTGCAGCAGCTTCAACTTCATCTATAAGTCTATCTTGTATATCTCCACTCCTTGGACATGGACTCCACAATCTGATTACAGGATCAATTCCACTTGTAGCCAGAAGACACATGCTTGGATGTGGTTGCAAGCAATTCACAATAGAATCATCTCCCTTTAGAACTCTCACTAAATTTGTTGTCTCTTTGTCCCACATGAAAAATGAACCATCATCACTGCCTGCCACAATAAACTGTCCATTGTTGCCAAAAAAGTTGGACTCTTTTATATCTGTAGTTGTGTTACAATGTCCACAGAACCGCCGATCGTAATCAAGTGCTCCAGCTCGAAATTCTTTCTCTTGATCAGACACAATGCTAGGCCGTCTCCTGCGCCGATTTGGAAGTGGTTCAGACTGAGCATTTGACTCTCCTTCACTGTTTTCTAGACATATAAGAGTATCTCAAGTCACTAAGAATAACACTGACTCAAGCTAATCACAAAAATGCTGAATGAAACAATCGTAACAACATTGTTCTCAAACCTGTTATGAATAATTTCTGGCTGTAATTTTTTGTTCAGTTTTCATCAGAGTTTCTGTTGAAAGAGACTCTGCTCTTTTCCTCTGACTACCCCAGAGGTGGAAGCAGGTAGGCACAAATTGATTTTATCAGGAAATTTGAGACTTCCATTAGATACCAGCCTATTTGACCCAATCCTAGATAGTTTGCACATGATAATTTGCCACTAGGAAACTAAAATTGTCAGTGAAAGTGATGCAATTGCTGGTTTACATATTTCATAGTGAATTAGCATACATCAAGGTTTTCAAACATCCAGACCCAGAAATAACATTGAACTTATTACTGTCCAACTACACCCACCACAAGTCTCAGCAAATGCAGCAGCTCTGATATCTCTCTCTAATGTTTTTGCTGCACTTCCTTCTGCTTGCTCTGGAAATTTTAACTTGAAATGATTGAGGCAGGAGAGGGCCTCCTGGAACCAGTGTAGTTCATACAAACATCGAGCTTGACGAAAATGGGCCTTAGTATGATTTGGGTCTAATCCCAGAGCTCTGTAGCAGTCACGCAAAGCAGCATAAATGTCCCCATCCCTGTAAAGAACGAAAAAAACAATTTGTTTGAAATAAGCATTTTGTTATCTCAGCCAAAGTGGAAGTTAATAGCAATAGTTTCCCCTAGTTATGAATCAAGAAATAGTCTTTATTTGAGGACAGTGGCCCATGCTGTAGTATGAAGCCACCAAGAGTATTGTCCCTCCCCCACAATCTGATGTGAAGCTGGTCCTTCCCAGACTTCCCCCTAGCATTGCAATCCCTTTCCCATTATCAGGATCCATTTCTACTTTTGGTTGGTAGAGGCACCATGAGGGTTAAGTGAGAGTTAAGAGTGTTGTGTGAGAACACAATCCAACTACCCTGCTAGGTCTTGAACCCAAACCTCAGGCTGACCATTTGGGTCACTGTGTTTCCCACTCCCATGAGGCATTCTGATCCCTAAACTTTTTTGTAATATCTTTGTGACAATAAATGAGGAGTCAGTTTGTAATACAATAATAACTTTCCCACATATCTTGCAAAACACAGCTAAGTCAGGTCATTACATACCAAGCCCTCTTAATATAAGCAGCAGCCCTGTTTGCATATAGGACAGCAGAATCAGACGCATGGACTATTGCTTCATTATACAAGTTAACTGCTGTCCAAAACTGTTGTTGGCAGAAGGCATCATTCCCTTTCTCCTTAAGTTGAAGTGCTTTCAGGGGCAATTGCTGGGAGGTGTTAGTTGAATAACTGCAGCCACTTATAGGCTTTGAAGATCTTTTCTCTGAGACAGTTTTCTTTCCATTTAAGGCTGGGACCTTGTAACCATTTGTAGATCCATTAAGAGAATTTAAAAATCCATTTTTCCCTGAAGGAATACCAAAATTACCTACTACATTTTTCACCACACCATTCGATGTAGGTGATGAACAAAGTCCATTAAAACCTTGATACCTCATGGCTTTGCGATGGCGTTTAATATCAAACAAATATATTTGTTCACCACCTAAATTTGCAATAAGTTCACATCCATTTGGTGAAAAATTCACATAGGTGGCAACATAGGCTCGAAATCGTCTCCGTGAATCTTTGCTTAGCTGTGGTGGCAAATGGCCAGGAGCAAAGTACTGAACACAACCAGGGGGAAGCTTTAAATCCTCAGTACAGCTGCTGTTACCACTAGAGGGTCTCTTGACCTCAGCAGACAAACTATAAGATGCTAACATTCTGTGGTCATATAATCGCACAAAAGGATCATTGCAGCCAACAGCAAGAAGTTCAGGTTGTAAAGGATTTATTGCTAGACACTTTGCCTCTGCCATGGCACCAACATAAATGTTGAGATTTATGAGTACATTCTTGCAGTTCTTACTGCTTGTATTACAGTTGTGAGGTTGCCGCAAATCAAATTGCCTGTTGAAAACAACAAATTATGCAGCAATTATTTTCAAACCAGGATTGACTAAATGCAAACCAGGAAAAGAGAAGCCTATAATCTTTGAACAGTTTAGTGCCATTCATTTTGCAGACTCTCCATAAACTAAATACAAACACCAAGACACAAGTGCAGAACAAAAATTCAATTTAAAGCCAGTATCTTTACTTATCATGGGCTCAAAGAAACTCTTTCATTCAACGAGATTAAATGAGATTAAACTCCCTGGAATTGAACTCAAACCTGGCTTTGCCAACAAGGCATTCAGCAGTATGCTCGGTACCACACAGCCTTATTAGCATATCACAATACCACAAATAAATCATTCATTCATAAGTTATATATCAAAGAAAGATGTTTTTTCCTCTTCACAAGCATGGGACAAACAAAAAATTCTGAGTCCCCAAGAGGAATTGAACCTCAGACCTTTGGATTCCACACTGCGATGCTCTACCACTGAGCCACAGACTCTACTATGAAGTTCATATGACATGTGTCCTGCATACTGTTAGGATCAGCAATGTCAATAATGTCATGTTTGTAAATAGAATACGAGAGATGGTAAGTTTTGAACTCAGTAAAGAAATAGATTATTCTATTTATAAACATAATGCTATTGACATTGCTGATCCTAGCAGTATGCAGGATTTGTGTAATATGAACTTCATAATAGATCTTGTTCACCGTAGCATCTTTGTGGCTCACTGGTAGAGCATCAAAGCATGGAATGTGAAGGTCTGAGGTTCCATTCCTGATGGGGACTCAGAATTTTTCTTTGTCTCAAGCTTGTCACAAGATGAAAAAACATCTTTCTCTATTTCTTTAACAAAATTTCTATTTCTCTATTTCTTTCAGGAAAATAAGATCTTTTTTTTTATGCATATCACATCACCTTTATGTTTCACCAGTTTACTACTACATTGATATTTAGGCTAATAGATCAATTACCTTATGGTTCCATCTTCAGATGCACTCCACAACATATACGGAGTATCTGGAGCTGTAGCTAGTCTCTTCACACGTCCAATATGACATTTATATACCTGTGATGTTTCTTGTGTTTCCACTGTATGAATCTGAACTTTAGCATCGGCAGCAGCTGTTGCAATTATTCGAGCTCCAATCTGTGGCAAGAACTAGAAAGCACAATGTGGATAATTTTTTTTAATGGTTACATAGAGGAATACCATAATGTGGCAAAATCCAGTCTCATTACATTCTCAGACCAGAGCAGCCACAACCTCAATACTAATACAAGCCCCCTATAGTAGCCTCATCCAACCAAGCCTGCAGTTTTCCGCCTAGCCTATTCCTCAGAACAAGTCATACCCCCTCCCCCTCCCCCCCATGCCTTAATATCACTCATTGCTCTAACTTCAAAGGTTCTAGGACTCCCTAAATATTACCAGTGGTACAGTGATGACATGGGAAGTCACATTTTTATCTACTATATGGTAAGCATCTTCTTGAATGTAATACCTTGACAGAGAAGATGTTTCCTGAGTGGCCTGTTTTAATGCAGCACTTTTTGTGACGTCTCAGAGGGTCCCATAATATAGCATTTAGATCATCTGAACCAGACAAAAGAAGACTGCAAGAGGAGCACACATTGCTATAAATTTTTACCTTTACATGTCACAAGGTGAACACATTAGAGTACAAACAACAGTTAAAAGTTAATAACTAACCATACATGAAAATAATTATAATCAATATTGTGTAATTATTATATAATTATTACCTAAAATACTTGGTGTCATTTGCTGTTGGCAGTAAAGGAAACCCGGTTACAAACTATCACTTACTTTCCATTTTCATTCCACTCCAAACAATTAACACATCCAGAATGACCCTAGTTGAAAAACATGATAGTTTAATCAGTAACAAAAACAGGCTACCGAGCCTTTGCAAAATGGAAACCCTTCTATAGTTTAAAACCTGCAGTACCTTTTTAACATGTTTCCGAATATTCTGATCGTCTATTAATCCAGAAAAGAGTATTAATCCCATTTCCTCTAAAACATAACTTGATGACACGAAAGCTCCCGTGGACTAAAGCGTCTATTATCGTTACTGACAAGCTTATATCGGATCTCTTATCGGACAACATAAGAAAAAAGCAATATCCTCACCACAATTGTGAGTCACAAAATAATTCCATAAAAAAACCTCAGAAATTTGAATTAAGTGGCCCCAGCTAAATTTCAAGATCAACTGGTCCTATGTAAGAAGACGTCAAAGTTTCGCTAGCATTAATTAAGTTGGTCAACATTCCTGTTTATTTCAAAGCGCTTTCTTAACGAATGGCAAAACTGATTTACGATTTCTGCATCAAATTAGGCAAAACGCTGGGCAAGTTTCACACTTCCGCGAACCATGCAATCTAGAAAACACAGTTGCTTAGCCTCAGTTGTGGATAGGACAAAAAATATACATACTGAATCCGACAGAAAACCCGGCAGACTAAAAATAAACATTGAAAAGACTTGGATTTGAATTGTAGCTAGCAAGAAAGAGTTTGTCTGATAATATTATGACGCTGATTTTTAATTCAGCAAAACCTTACATTACCTCGAGCTCTGTTTCGAGTCCAAGCCTTTCAACAAAAGGTTGATGGAGTTGAAATCTTCTCTGGAAAGCTCGCGTGATGGACGACTATAGAGAAGACAATTCAAAAATGAAGAAAAAATGTAGGGTTAAACTGCGCTCCAACGCTGTGTATTATTTAAATTCAGAAAAAAAAAGAACCTTACCTTGACTTCACGATCCCTAATAAACGTTGCGATATTATTTGTTTCCATAACTCTTTTTGATCGTTCTTCCCTCGTAAAATCAAACTGTTTTCTGCAGTACAGCAGTTTGCCGTGCTCAAAACATCTCCACTTTCGTGTTCGTGTCAGAAGTGCGTACTTGATTGACAAGCGACTTATAATTTACAAATTCTTGCTCACAAAATCCAGGCTCTTCACTTATACTAAGCTTGGTATTTAGAACTTTAAAGTTGTATGAAAGCTAAGACTTTGATATCCTTTACCCTCGACATTAGAAGACACAGTAAAAATAAAAACTCTACACGGGTAAATGTTTCCGTGCTCATGTTAAAGCAATCTGATAGCTGAGACACCAAGCCTTGATGTAGGCGGAGGGAAGGTGCAGTCCCACCGCGGCCTTCGTAACCGAAACAAAGCTAATATCGATTCATGTTTCAGTATGTTGGCAAATATCAAACGAAACAAACTTCAGGGGCTCTGTAGAATCAAGAGAAAAACTGATTACGACGTACGAAAGGTGATGAGGTCAATATAAATATCCTCTCCACAGACCCCAGTTAACCAGAAGTGAATTCTACGGATTTCTTTCTTCAAAGGAAGAAGTTCATACTAGTAGATCAGATGAGTAGGTCCTGAGGTTAGCGTTGGAGTATCTTGTTTTTGAAATTAAATTAAACAGAAGAAGGCTGGAATTGTGGAATGCTTTAACCCTTCACCCCCAAAATCTAAATAAGCATTCAGTGGCTCTTTTTGTTGGGTGTCAAACGATCATCTCTTTGGTTAATATTTTCTCTCTACACGTCTGTGTTAAACTTAGATATTACTTTTTTGTCTCCCATGGGGGTGAGAGAGTTAAGATATTCTGATGTTTTAACAAGCTTTTCTTGTAAAAAGTTCAAAGAGACTCTTGAACAATATCTGTCTGCTCAGCTAAATTAGCAGGGTTTGTACCCAAACGGTTTAACTTAATTGGTTGGAAACTGGTTTCACGCAGCGATTGCGTTTGGAAGAGAGGAGTCCTAGGAAGAATAAGAATGGCAACAAAGTAGTAATAACCAAATAAAACGAACATAGATCTCATGTATCAAGAAGCTATGCGACACAACCATGTCAGAATTTATTACGCTTCAGATAATGAGTATAAAAATATTTACAGTTGAAAGAATAATCAGGGAGTGCTGAGATACATGTATACAGCAATTTTAGCGATTTAGGACTTAGAACACTCTCTGATGCTCAGCGTTTCTCAGGTCTAAGGGCAGGTGGTTTGAAAGCAGTGCGACCCCTCTTTTCTTTCTTCTTTTTCCCTCCAGCTTGAAACGTTCTCCAACTATCTACGCGGTTTGTGCGACTTTCCTTTCAAAGGGAAATGAAAGTTAGAGTAAATAATTGTAATCAAACGAATCTAAAATTATTACAAAGCTGAAACAGCATGATAAGGGAATATAGGTTTCTTAAATAACTTGGAAAACTCTCATCAAACAGCTTCAAACTAAAGGGCTTGTCACTTAAGTTTATTTTCACCAAAAGGATATTAATTTCAAAGGAAAAGCTTATGCTGTACTTGAACTTTGGAATATGCCTTATTTTCAAGGGAACTTACCTCCCATTGTTTTTCCCACTCTTTCTTCTTCTTTGTTGCTTCTTCTTCAGCTATCTCTTGTTCACGTTGTCGCTTCCTGTATGAAGGTCAAACTCGTGTTTATGAACAAAATGTTGTGCTAAAAAATGCAATTAGAGTGGATTGATGCTATGGCTGCATATAGTTATATGCTTGCAAAAGCATTGGACTACATGAACAGGAATACAGCCAATTGACTGGAATGCTAAATCTCAAAGAGTGACAAATCACTTTGCTTTCTACTATTTTCTCCTGCAGTAGTTTTACCTTAGCTCAGTATCTTTTTCCTCTTGTGCCCTCCTCTTAATTTCATAATCAGCAAACAGTTTGACAGTTGTGGAGTGGACCAGTTTTGATAACTATGGATAGAATACAAACAAAAGTATATTGAAATCATTGTGGTTTTAATTCAATCATCTTTATACTGCAATAAAAGATACAGGATTTACTTGTCATGATATCATCATCATCACCATCAAATCTCCATGTAAAGTGACACAAATCTACACTATTGTCACTTTGTGAGGCATAGCAGTGTATTTTGCAAGCTAAAATGTATTTTGGCCTGCTTACATACCCCTGTGATTGTTCAGACTGTGTATTTTTCCAGCTATTATTTCCTCAATCCCTTCCAAGTGATAATATTTGACTTAAGTTAATGTTCGTGGGCATACAAATGTTTAAGCCCTTGTCAGATCTAAAATGACACTGAGTCACATCCAAAACATATTTATGCCCACAAACATCATCTCTTGATTTATTAGTGTCGCTATCAACACTGTCCTCCTGACTACAAACTAGTTTGTACAATCGTGATCTGTATGAATTTGTATTGTTTTCATTTGTACAATTTCTTGCTCTCAGTGTCAAGTCAATAAAATAGTTGTTTGCTGTAACTATTAAAGTTTGGACAGTTTAGATTTTCTTAACTCTCAGTTCAGTTTTACAATGTATTTTTTATTCATTTGGGTTTATTCATAGACAGTTTGGTGTGCATAAAAGCACAAGGTCAACACTGGGCGAACAAATTACTTCTGAATGTCATCTATTAACACTTCCTTGATTGAAATATCACACTTAAGATAACAAGCAGGATATATATTTCAGTTTTAACTTGAAACAAACTATTTAACCATTATAGAATCTTCCAACAATAATGATTCAGATAGACTAGTACTTATATTTCTTCTACAATGCACGTGGTGAGTATTAAAACACAAACTTGCTCCATGCAAAAGGATCATATGTGTAAAATTCCTAATAAACTGAACATTATCATTTCTTTACCTTATCTGGATCTTCCTCTTCTTCAATCTTCTCTCTGCCCTCTTTCCTTGCTTGCTTTTTCTTTTCCTTAAGCTAAAATAGGACACCCTGGTTTAGCTGCACAGTTCACAAAAATATATACTATTGAAGTATGCCCTTACATCATTACACCCTCCATCGATTCATGAAAAAAAAATAAAGTTGGAGTAATATGATTTATTGAACAAAGAAAAAATTAAGAACACATATCAGTGATGATATAGCCCCTAGATATAAATTATAACCAAAGAAAACTTGAAGCATGCCTGTCTAAGCCAAATATTTCACAGCAACAATCAATGATGATTTGTAATTAAAAAATTTATTTTGCACAATAATCATGTTTACTATAAACTTTATAGTAAGATAATAACACTTAACAAGTTTGTATATTATCAGGCAATTGAAATATTCAGGACTTTGCACTCATAAAGCAGTCCTCACATACATTTGAATCACTAAGAATTCTCCCAGAGATGCACATATATGTATATTGCATGTCTTTGTGTCATGTTCATGATTAATTTAGTATCAACACTGAAAATTTATTTTCCCATAGATTAGTTTTAGGGTTTTTGTTGTAAGTGATCATTTCCAGCCTTTCCAGACAATGATACATGAAGAATATCTAACGTTCCCATTTCCTAGACAGAGGTCACTTACATTAGCCTTGACCATTGCTTGTGCTTCTTCAAGAATTTCATGAACCTTTTTCATTCTGTCATTATCCAAAAGTAACTGATGAGCATTACTGACAGCTGGAGTGATTAGATGTGGGTAGAAAAACAGATGAATAAATAAGTACAAACATTGACAGTACACCAGGTGGTCTGATATACTTCAAGTCAAACTTAAATAGTCCAAAGGCTTGTTTACATTGGAGCTCTATCAGCCAATAAAATGTCAGTTTTTAAGCTAACAAACTGATTGGGTTGGACATCATAAGCCATCCCCAACGGTTAATGATAAAAGTATGTGGGAGTTTCATTGATGTATGGAGCAGCAAGGTATCTGGATCTGGCATGCAGGCATACCTTATACAAGGCTTGATGGTTCTTGCCCTAGCAACTGTAGGTACTCAGCATGTGTGCTTCCCGAAAAAAGTTTGAAATTTGTCAGTTACAGATGCATTTTTGTGCATTTTGGAGCAGAAACATGCTTCAGTTCCCAAACATGTATCAATACTTAAGATAACAGAGTGATGACTTAATTCACCCATCAAAGGGTTGACAAGTGCAAATAATCAATCATTTACTTGTCAAATCTGTATATCTTATTAGTTAATACACTTTTTCATTTTAGGAGACACATGAGAAAATATGGGGCAGTAACAAATATGTTATTGTTAGGGTTAGGGTTACTGGCTTTCAAAAGATCCACAACTGTTAAGTTATCACATGGTAAATGAGAAAGTACCCTTAAGTCCCTAACATTTTTGTAAAGTTTTCAGAGCAATCTCACAGGGTGAGATCACAAACATTTTGTGATTCACTTAAGTTCCATTGTTCAATTTCCATCTTTGATACACAAATTTGAATCATAAAAACCCTGTTTCTCACCTTTTATATTTAACAGCTTATTGAGCTGATTGATTTAATATTCTGTCAACATTAACCAGATATTATTCTCCACTATTTATACATGGCAATATGGTGCTAATGCTGATGGTCAGGGCTATTGCACTGCATATCATAGTCCTGCTTTTGCAACAACATTTCTTCTTTCAAAATGGAAGTCATGTTCACAACAACTTTAAACCAGCACATGGTGGTTTAAGTAAACTCTTGGCAGATATTTCTCTGTATTTGTGCCCTTCTTGGGTGTCAACGAAAGATGCAGTACTCCTACAAGCTACCCTTTGCATTACAAATATGGCTTTGCTTCTTCCCCGACAAGCCTTTGCATATATCACTACTTGGTCTTTTATTGTCTGGTGATGTTCAAAGAAATCCGGTCCCGTTCCTACAAGTCATGGATTAAACCTATGTCACGGGACATTCAGCATCTAACTGACAGTAAGTTTGAAGAGATAAAAACCATGTTTCTTAAGGAACTCAAAGATCTTGATATTCTATTTCTTGCTGAAATGTTTTGTTCCAGTAAAATAACAGACTCATTTTACAATATTCCTGGTTATGCACTATTTTAAAAGGACAGGGTTGGCAAAAAAGGCCATGGAATTCTGGCTTTCATAACCAACTCGACCTTTGTCAAAAAAAGGTCTAACTTTCAAGTTTCTGATATAGAATAATTATGGCTGAGGGTATGCTCCCATAAATCAAAGCCTTCCTCATTTATTGGAGGTATTTACAGGCCATCTTCTAATAAAGTCAAGGATGATAAGAAATAAGGCAAGAACATCAAAAACATACAATTAAGAAACAGAGAAATGGTTATAATGGGTGA